TAACACCACAACTTACTTTTCTCCATTAACTGATAGTGAATTGTATATGTAAGAATATCAACAGTAATATTCATGATGGGTGCCTGCCACGTTACATTGACACTTGTACTCGATAACACAGTAGCTGCAACATTCCTAGGAGGGTTGGGGCTATTTTCAGCTGCAAAAACAATTTTATTTTATAAGTTTATTAATTGGTTACACGAATACATTAAAGTGGGAGGGTTGTCACCTGAGCATGTGCAGGAATTTAGTTCCAAGTGACGATAACAGCACACGCTAAAATGCAAAGGCTCATGGGTAGACGCTTGTTTGTAAAGCATGCGCATCTGACAATTAGAGTCGGCATAGCTTAAGACAATACAAAATAAAGGGGTGAGATGTCAACTTGCCAAAGAGGACAAACATTAAAAAGAAACTGGCTGAGCAAAATGACCTTAGGGTATAGTGGTGAAGCTATGGTCAAATATATGAAACATGGCTGGCGAAGATGGTCGTACATTGCGTTAAATCTAGTTATCCTGGAATGCATTCTTTTCCATGTTTTAATTTACTAAAAATCTTTAATTCTCTATGAAACAAAAAAGAATAATAATGGCAACCTACCAACTTCTATTATCAATCGAGCACTAGCTTGGGCTCTACCATACATATTCTCGGCAATACATTGATATAGGCCTTCATCAGTTTCATTTCCAGTATTTTTTTGCACATTGACAATCACTAAACCGTCATAAATGATATTGAAACGGCCGCTTATGTCAATTTTCCTGCCGTCTTTCAACCACGTTATGGTTGGTGTGGGTTTGCTGTCCACTGTACAGATACATGTAAATCGAGCGGTACTCGCACGTGGTCTTGTAACTCCGTTAGGAACCATGTCCAAAGTAGGAGGAGCTGGAAGAGCAAATAAAGTATCAGTGAAGTATTTTCAATTCTGGGAAGAATAAAATTGAAAATTGAAGGAGATTGAGTTTTGTTATAAACACAATCATCAAAGATCATTATGGAATTTCTGGAATTTTACAAATTAGCAATTAAGTTTCAAATCATAATCATTAAAAACAATCCTTATTTGGCAATGGAAGAGGACTACACAGTACAACCAACTGAGACACTAGTATAACAAGCAGCCTCTCGGCTGAGATAGATCCACTGTTAGCAATGCACATTTCAATTAAAGGACTAAAGATATCATTAGAAAATGAACTTCTATTTCAATGGTAATAACTCACAGTCGATAACGATCATTTTTTGTGAAACCCCTTTTGTGATTTTTGCAGTGCTGCCTCATTTTAATTGTTTTAGAAAGCAATTAAGAAGTCCAAGGATGAACGTTAACACAGGTTTGATTGTAATTACCTGAAAAAAATATCATAAACTTGCAAAAAACTAAATATGAGTCATTTTTGTTTAATAACTAAAAGCAAACATACCTTGGACATTAAGATAAATATTAACAGACACAATTCCATTTGTTTCCACATTTCTTGCAGTGCAAACATAAGTACCACTGTCAAACACTACTAAATCTGAGATCCTTAAGTTGCTTCTCCCATATACACTATATTTATTTGTATACAACAGCTGTCCTCCTGCAAAAAAACAAACACATAACTTTTTTTCTCGATGTCACGAGTTTCAACCACCTATAAGTGCTACTGGTCGAATATACGCTATAATAAGCACAATCAAGGGCTCATAATTTAAGGGTACGTAACTGTTGTGATATGAGAAAAAAATTCCATTTGAAGTCATGCAAATAGCAAGATAATCACAAAAGTGTCAGACAAATGTACATTTCTAAAATCAATGCAAATGAAAACAAATGATGTGACAGTCGAAATAGCTCAAAAATATTGTACACCTCAAATATCAAAGCGATCAGGTTGGTAGTGTTCAAGAAGCAATCTGAAATATAATTTTTTACCAAAAATTACAGAAATATTTGCCCAAAATAAAGAATTGATGATATCGGCAGGAAATGAACAAATCTAACAGAGGTCCACCTAAGGTACCAAGTATCAATTTGAAAGCAATTGAGATGGTAGTTCTCAAGAAGAAGTTGAAAATGCAATTGTTGAAGAACTCCACTCTGTCTTACCTCTGGTCCAAGTGACCTCTGGTGGGGTATCCTGCAGAGAATACCTTTCAAATAAACACTCTAATATAACTGTTTTTCCAGCAAGAGCCTGTGTGCTGCCTGATCTGGACACCAATCTGGGTTTTCTCATATCATCCACGTCATCAAGTAATGGTATTGTTGACTGCACTGTCAGTGGGGCTTCCGCACTTCTCCTTTTGTTGGCGATATTTACAGCGATGCATCTATAATTTGCGGCATCGCTTTCCTGAATATCGTGAATTTGAAGAACTCCTGAGGGTAAAACAACAAATCTGAAAACAAGAATTAAGTTGATTATTTTTACATTGTGTACACGTCGTGAAAAAGATATGATATCGCAAAACAATTTTTTTTAAATTGTCAAAATTAATGTTGTAAAAATTTTTTTTTAGAATGATTTTATTTACACAACCAAAATGCCTCAACCTTTTCACCACCGGACTTTTTCATACAAATTTTTCTGTATTTTTTCTTATATTCTTCAATATTTTTGGAAATGACCTTCAATTTTGGAGCCAACAGACAAAATTTGAGTAAATTTTCAGTTTTACTCAAAAAATTGCGCTATTTTTCTCTCAATCTTCTGAAGGAAATTGCAGACTATAAATTTGTGATGAAAAGAAGGAAATGGTGGTGAAAACTTTGTGATTTACAGACGGAAGCATTTTCCCACTACATGGCTTCACAGAACACCTCAACTGATATTTGTCATTCTTGATAGTGAAATTGTATCTAAGAAACTACCACCTGTGTCATCTGTATTGTTTTTCCTTACAAAATAACGCTGGTGATCTATTTATAGAAATGACATCATCAGCATCAAGCAGATTACAGGTTTGCCCTTCTTAGCGGTGAAAAGACTTGACCACTTGCCCAGCTCAGGGTTCTCCACGGTTTGAAAATTAAACAGGGCGCGCCAATGTGAAGTGGGCGTGGCACATTTGTAACGTGCATCATTGGCAAGGATGTTGAAAAATAGAAACCAAAAAATCTATTAATCTACATATTATTACATATGCATAATATATATTTATTATTACAAAATGAATAGGAATTTTGAAGAGCTATTATTAAGTAAACGTCAGCACGTACAATCAGCTGATTTTAGCTGCACGATTCCTCAAGCGGCGACATCAGTTGTTTACAAGTAATGATCGCGTCCAGAAAAAAACGT